CTGACCGTGGAAAAGCATCTGAAACAGAATCCTAGGCTTTGCTCTCCTAACGCTGGTATAGTCCTTGAGCCTCTAAATGAAACAACCTAATACACCTTAGAGCCTTCTTCAGCTGCATCTTAGATGACCCACTTTTCTTCAAATTAAAGAAACACATTTAAGCTTTTAAAAATCATGGTGAGTTGATTGTTGGACACCCTTGAAAACAGTAAACCTTGCATTTTTGTTCAGTAATCCAGTTTTTTAAAAAATAATACCATCACCTTTTAAAGAACTTTAAAAACATACATGATCCCAAATGTGGACACTTCTTTCTGCTCCCACGTTATTTACAGCATAGATCACAGCTCTCTAATAGACGCTGTGAAAGCATGTGGTATCAAAATAAGGGCGGGGGATATCAAAATTTCAAGATGGAAAAATAAAAGAATCAATGGATCTCATTTACATTTAGGAAAGCAAACTTGAGGTTTAACCCAACATGCCACTTTGTGATTTAAAACATAAACAATTACTACTTGTATTGTGGTGATCATTTCACAGTATATAGAAATAGCAAATCAATATGTTGTACACCTGAAATGAATATAATGCTATTTGTTACTTATGTCTCAATTTAAAAATTTACCATCTTGCCTTTGAAAAAAATTTTTGGAGCTTCTTTTCCTTGCTAATCAAGATACAATAGCTTATTGATTATCCTTGCTTTTGTAAGCCAGTACGCCTGTTTGAAGCTTTTCCTGTAATCTAGTCCTTCTGTGCAATAGATATAACATATAATTCCTATAAATTATGCCACTTTTTCCTAAATTATTTGAAATGTCAACGAATGCCTCTTAGTGTCTATTTTTTGAGCTCCTCCACTAGCTCTGAAAATAGCATTCTTCCTCAATTCCACTGGAATTAATTTTCAATTTGTTATTTAATTTACTGGCATCTTGGGAAACAAGTTTTGCTGTGGAAGGCAGGCTGTTTTGAGTGTGGGTGAGTCTCTAGTCTGGTTTATAGATGACGTTGCATCAGGTTCTTTGCTGTATACCAGCGCCCCATTGTGGAAATACGTTATATGACTTGGAACACAAATGACACTTACTTAAAGCGTATTTTCAAGTTTTCAAAAGACATTTGTTTTGATTATTTTGCCAATAATCTGAAAGCATAATGTGAGAGGAATTAGGAAGTATTTTAAAGGAATTTTAAACCTTTTCCAAAGGGAAATATACTTAGGTTACAGGGAGTTTTTTTTTAATTCTAATCTTTTATCCATTTGATCAAAGAAAATTTGCAAACCATTTTTACCTCTCACCATCACAATCATTAATATCTCCTACCAACACTATTTACTTTGAAACACCGGTTTGGCTGCCTTTTCTTTTTATATGCTAGAATTCATGCAATTTTTTAATTGAAAGTTCACAACTTGTTCCGTGAATATTTTGAACATTTCTTTTTAAATTCTTTTTTTATTGTTATTTTTTGTTTTGCACTGTAAAATAGATTAAAAATTTAAGCCGGTCTTAACACACTTCTGTAGTGTAGAGAAGTGTAAGAAGGAATTTCTTAATACATGAGTTTACATGTTTAAATGAAGCATATTGTAAGTAATATGTCATGTGTTGAAGACCTTTCTGTTTGTATGTATAAAGATTCCTGATGATTTTTTTAGTGTCATCGCGTTGCGATAATTTAACTCATTTGACTTACTTGCTAAAAATATTATGTCTAAGAAGTGCTCTTGACTTCAATACCTAAACACTGAAAATCATGGCAAAGGTACCCAAAGATAAGTTTTTATACAGATACACACCTAATAAGTTGTGGTTTATTTTATTATTCATTAATCTAACAATGCTGTGTTCTAAATGAATCATGAATGAGAGTAGTTCTTTATTGTGGAATTATTTAAAACTATCTTTTAAAGAAAAAGAAATTATAAACATAAGCTACTCTAGTTGCCAAGTTGGAATTCATTATTTAATTTACCTCCTATGCAATGATATAATGCTGCAAAATGTATGGTTATGTTACAGTATATTCACAAAAGAAATGTTATTACAAGGCTTGAGAGGTAGCCATTTACGTTTTCAGAAATTTACTGTACTGTTTCAATGTGTTAAGTGCCTTGTTGTAAAGTAAAATTTTAAGCCTAGAATTCATTATTTTCCTGACATATATTTTTCATTATGAATATACTGTATGTTATTGTAATAGTTTTATTAAATGCTTACGTTTTAATCAAACATGTAAATTTCAGAAGCTCTTTTCTCCTACCCTCCAGTACCTTAATCATTGGTCTCTCGTAAGGGATTTGAATTCAGATTCTTTTTTTTAAAGAGGAAAATATCTTTGTTCAGAAATATGTTTTCCATGCTCGTGCTCCTACGTTTATAAAAACATTTCAAGAGGATTTTAGGAGCTCAACTATAGTTTGTACTTCAAAATGCTGTTTTACATTTACATTTTAAGTGCCTAATTGTTAGTTAAAACTAATTTATGTTTCTATTCTAAAGAGAATATGTGTACTTGGTTTCTAATCTCTTAGGCTTTGCTTAATAAATAATGATAATAATAATAAAGCAAGAGCCTATACTTTGTATTTACCCAATAAACTACCATGACATCAAGTCTTTTCAAAATAAGTACTAGTTTCTTTCAATTTTAAAAACTTGTTTTCTATAGATTTTAAATTTTTACTTAGTGTTAAGTACTTATTAAAACCACGAGGTTATTTACTTCAAGCACTATTTTTAAAATAAGGTAATCTTCGATTAATGGAACTGTAAATAAACTATAGTATTATTTTTCCTGCCCTTGGATTTAAGGTGAAAAAATAATTCACAACAATATAAGGTCATTCATGGAGAAGAAAGAAATCAGTTACACATTCCATGATTCTGATCCATTGCTCACAGAGAGACAAAATCATGAGTTCTTCAAGAAGAGCAGAGTCCTGTCACTCAGTTCTGAAAGAAGTATCCTCATGCCTTCACGGATGTCCTGACCCAGGCCTTGGTAGTATAGACTTGGCAACAAGATTGCAGCAAGTTGTTTCTGGACCCCTTTATAAAAGGTGAAGGCGTGACCCCCAAAGACAGATTTGGTAAAAGCAATCGGTGGAATGAGGGGACTAGGGTAAGATAAATATAGTTCAAAGATTAAGTTGTTGGATCTAGACCAGGTTATGTTGAATTATCTGGACATGATATAGATCAGAATAGGCTTTCTGCCACCTCCACCCAGGCCTTGGATGAAAAGCTCGTCACGGTGGTGGTTCCGTCTCCCTGTTTGAAACATGAAACATTAGCATGCTGACTTTGCTGGCCACAGCCTCAAAGCCTGCCCTTATCTAAGATGTATTATACAAGGAACTGATACGATGATTCACAAACCTTGACATCTAACATTTCATTTTCTTGGAATAAAATATACAAGAATATCAGAAGCATAATACTAGATTTCTCACTGACATTAGAATAGCAATGGCATATGCACTACTATGTGTCTACATAATGCATATTTAGTTCATATCTGGCACGTGTGATGAGGCATAGCATTTTACAGTTTTTATGCTTGACCTACATTCTTTAATCTTCCCCAAACCCTGCAACGTAGGCAAAGAAATGGTGACCCCATTTTGTGAGATGAAAGAGTTCATAGTGTCAGCTTTGGTACTTGAGTTTTGTTTTCTGTGTTTCGCTGCCTCCTGTCATAGTTACTATGGTAGCCATCACAGTTTGTCAGAGGTTTTGCTTTTGTTGTTTATTTTTTAGGAGAGTTTATTCCTTATCAGCCAGTTGGTTTGTTAAGAGGGAAACTGGTCCTTGCCACAGGTTCTTTGTCAAATGCTCCCGATTTTTCTTAGCGTTGCAATTGACTACATTTCAGAGGCAATACTTCTAGTGCAAAACGGCCTTGAAAGCAAAAAGGATCGACAAGTGTGTGACTCACAAATTCTGAGAACAGAGCAAACTCATTGCATGTATCAGGATACATACATGTACATTGCATGTACAGGACAGTACGCTATCACACACCTTAGCTTTGCACAGGGTAACACGGGAGACACCAGAGTGCATGTGACTTTATCTCTAAATGACTCTCAGGATCTATTCCCAAGGGGATGTCAAAAAGAGAGACGTGATGACCCTCTTTCAAGGGACAGCACAGCTATGAGGGCATGGAGCAGCCTTGGGCTTAGCGCAGTCTGGGTTGATTCTGGGCTCCTGAAAGGACCAAAGTGAAGCCCCAGGATTGTTTGGTCCTGGCATGAACTGGTGAGCTTTCTGTGCTAAAAATGTGCCCAAACCAGTATGTGTTCTTGCTTCTGGCCAAGTTCCTGGGCAGATTTTACTTCTTAGATCCAACCACTTCTCTCTTTTTCTTTCTTAGTTCCTTAAATGATGTATTTATTTGAGTAGAAAGAAAGGAAGTCAGTGCCTTTAAGAAGCTACCATATATCAGGCACTGCTAAAGGCTTTCTCTTACCTAACACTCAGCCAGGTGCATCTCCCCGTGCTGCTTTCACAGGGAGAGGTAAACATGGGGCAAGGAGCATCCAGGCTCCCATCCCGTCAATGCCGAGGCCCGTCATTCTCTGCAGCAGGAGAGTCACCCCCTGTGCAGGGAAGGCAGGAAAAGGGTTGCCTCTTCCGGAAATCCTTTGCCAGCCAGGTTTTGTGTTGTGGAGAGCAAGGTTAGTGCTCCAGGCTGAGCCCTCCAAGACTCCGTGATCCACCTTTAGCAGAATTCTTGTCTCCAGTTGACTCCAGTCCCTTCACCTACAACTATGTTCTTTTCCTCTTTGTAGTCTCATGCCTGATGGTTGATGTGCGGTGAGTGGGGCAAAACTGTTGTTCCCATCACCCCTCTCTCCTCGCATACCTCCCCGAGGCTGGTGGCAGAGGACTGGCAGAGGGACTGTGGGCCTGTGGGGGGCCAGGCCCCCAGAGCACACACCCCCAAGGTCTACAGACATGACGTCTTTGCTGGGAGGAGATGGTACTGTTCAACATATTTTTAAATTATATCTGGCCAGTTTCCGAGTTCATGGATTGAAGAGAATGTTTACATTTGACACGGGGCGGGCAGGCGGGCAGGGGGACAGTTCCCTGTTGTCTTTGTCAGTTAGGGCTGCTGTGACAAAATACCATAAGTTGGATGGCTTAAACAGTGAACATTTATTTTCCACAGTCCTGGAGGCTGGGAGGTCCTAGGTCAGGGGGCCAGCAGGGTCAGGGTCAGGTGTGGGCCCTCTGCCAGGTTTCCTTACACCTGGGAAGAGAGAGCGCTCGTCTTCTTACACAGGACACTCATCTCGTCACGGGGCCTCCACCCTCATGACCTCATCTAAACCTAATTACATCCCAGAGTTCATACCTTCTAAATCCACCCTATTGGGGGGTTAGGGTTTCACACAGTCTTTTTTGTTTTTTGTTTTTGCCTCCTCCCATACCAATTTGTGAGGGGAAAAAAAACCTTTATTGATAAATAAGTTACAGTGAAATAAATAGAGTGATGGTTTGATGGGGAATAAAAACTCCAGCAGAATATTAGTCTCTCTTCTCCCGCCTCCAGCTCTTGAATTCTGCCTTCTTACTGGCCCCTTTGGGTGAAGAGGTCTTGGTGGGTCCTCGGGCCCTTGGGGACCTCTGTCTTCCTAGCCAGTGATGCTGGCGCCGTCTTGGACCCACTGCCCTTAGGAGGAGCAGTAGCTTTGGCTTTTAGTCCTTCCCCAGTCCCCTGGCCAGCAGCCTCTTTAGGGACCTTGTTCTCCATCTTCTTTTTGGCCAGGGAAGCATCACCATTCTTGCCCTTGGTGACTGTGGGTTTTGAACTCTGACTCCCAGCTTTGGTTTTCCTGTGGGCCTTGGCATCTGGGCAATTCCTTCTGCCTTTGACCTTTGACTTCCCATGGGGCTCACTGGCACCAGGAGGGGCATATGTGGCCTTGTCTGGCAGTCGGGGTGGGGGGGCCTTCCTGGCCTTGCCTACTCTTGTCTCTCTGTCCTTGGTCTGGCCATCTTGGGGGCTTACTCCTTGGCTTCACCGGGTCTCCTGGGGGCAGTCATGGTGGTTGTCTTTCTGGGCTGGATTCTTTTGATGTGCTTGGGAACTAATTTGAAGCTTCCAGTGGCCCCCCGCCGGCCTTGGTGTTGGTTGGCCTGACGAGGAGGGCACATTACATGCCAGTGTCCAGGGCCTGCTTCAGCAGCGGGGGACACAAACATGTCGTCCATAACACCAGGGTTTCTTAATTTTATACAAATACATCTTTTTAAAGTGAAGTGCACTGCTTACGGTGCCAAGTCTTAAGCTCCTTGGGTTCCGTGGTTCTTCCTTACCTGTGAGCCCTACCTATGCAAGGCCCCACCACTGTCAACTGACAGTGCCACCTGTCCTCTGTAGTGCAGTGCTCAGTCCTACGCATGCTGTGCTTCCCCAGCCAGTATTATCAGCCATCTCCAGAAGAGGCAACATAACATGGTGGCCCTGTGCTCTCTGGGTTTGCATCTCAGTTCTTCCAGTACTGGCTGTATGTGGAAGACCTTAAACGCGTTGCCTAAACTCTCTGGGCCTTAGTTTCTATATCTGTAAGATGGAAATAATAATAGTCGATGTCCCATAGAGTTGTTGGGAGGACTAAGTGAAAGATGTTGTTCCAAGATACACATTCGATAAGTGTTGGCCAAATTCAGTTAACAAAAGTTTAGGTACCATGGTTCTAGCACCGAAATTGTTAACGTACATCCAGATCTTGCCTGTCTTGAAAGTTCAGCTGAAGTTTCATCTCCTGAAAGCTTTACCTTCTTCTCTGAATTCCTCCCTAAAAGACACAAGTTGCCAAAAGGTGAGATACTAAAACACTATTTTAAGATTTTTAAAAACTATATCCTGTTTCCATACCAAATTAAAGTTCCTTAGGAGAAACAATTGTCTTAGTATTCATTTCAGTGTCTAACAAAGTTCTTATCACATAGGAGGTACTCAACAAATATTTATCGAATGAATATTTTAAATGTTCATTCAATAAATATGGATTTGGATTGTCAACAGAATTTATGAAGATTCAGTGAAAAGTAAATTGCCTATTATGCCACCAAATAATTTGTTTTAAAATAATTGATGTGTATAACTTGAAAATGTTTCAGTAGCCATCATACAATAGGTGTTTTGGTCAAAAATATGGATTGAAAAATAAAGAGAAGTGGGAAAATCCAGTGGACTTGGCCCCAAAGATAGTGGACTTGGCCCCAAGATTTAATTCCTAAGGCAGCTGCTTCCCAGCCATCCAACCTTGGCAAGTCACTTTACCTACCTGAATCATCATGTCCCCTCTATAAAACGAGAGGGGACAGCATCACAGTGAAGATTCAAGGTCACGTAAACGACAGAACTTGATACTACCTGACTCATTAATTTATAATAAAGTCTAACTGGAAAATAAATTGGGATTTTAAAAATATTTTTTAAATTGTAAAGAATTTAAGAATTTTTAAATTGTAAGAATTAAAGGATTTTTAAATGAAACATTTTCTATTTAATACAAGAAATTTGTTGTGTTGTACAAGCTTTTGGATTTCAGTTGAGAATGCTGTCACATGCTTGAGCTTGTTTCCAAAGGCCCCACTCTGCCCAGCTCCCTCACATTTCATAAGCTCACAGTATGCGTGAACTGTTTCGCTGTGTCTCTCCAGAAACATCCAGAAAAGTGAGTGACAAATTGCTAGTGTGGAAATACTTTTTTTCTAATTTAAAAAAAAGGACAACTCGTAGACACAGACAACAGTGTGGTGGTTACCAGAAGGAAAGGGAGGGAGAAGGTAGATAAAGGTAAAGGGGGTCGATATCTGGTAGTGTAACTTTGGGCGATGAACAGAATGCGATATTAGATGTTGTATTATAGAACTGTGCACCAGTGTTCGCAGCAGCATTATTCACAATAGCCAAAAGTGGGGACAACCCAAATGTCCATCAATGGATAAATGGATAAACAAAACATATATATATATACACACACACAATGCAGTATTATTCAGCCATAAGAGGGAATGAAATTCCAAAATATGCTACAACATGAGTGAACACTGAAAACATTATGGCAAGTGAAATAAACCAGATTCAAAAGGACAAATGTTGTATGATTCCACTTACATGATGTATCTAGAAAAGGCAATTCAGGGAACAGAAAGTAGAAGTAACCAGGGGCTGAGGCTGATGGAAAGTTACTGTGTAACAGGTACGGAGTTTCTGTTTGGGATGATGAAAAAGTTACAGAAATAGACAGCAGTGGCAGTTATACAACATTATGAATGTACTTAATGCCACTGCATTGTACCCTAAAGATGGTTAAAATGGTAAATTTTATGTAAATTTTACAATAATTAAAAAAAAACCTGTATTTATTCTAGGACTATTTGTAATAAAAAAATAACTGGAAGCAATCTCAGTATTAACAGAGGATTTGGCCAATGTATTGTGACACAGCTACATGGATTTCCTAATGGTCTCGGTTTCACCTCTGCCCCTTTACATAAAAGCAGCCAAAGTGATTCTATTAAAACATAAGCCAGATGTTGGTATTCCTTCCCTAAACATTCTCCCATGGCTCACCCTCTTAGTCAGGGTGAAAGCCAGAGTCTCTGCAAAGCCCCCTACAAGGCCACCTCTTTGATTTCATCTCTTTCCATTCCTCCCCTTGCCTTCTACACTCTAGCCTTGTTCCTGGAACACTCTCAGCGTAATTCAGCCTCGGGGCCTTTGCACTTACTGTCTCCTCTGTCTGGAAGGCTCTTCCCCCCGGTATCTGCAAGCTTTCCATCGGATGACCAGCTATCTATTCAAAACAAGCCTTCCCTGAACACCTTATATAAGACAGCACTCCCCCACACACACTCACACAGACAGCAATCTCTACCATCCTCCTCCTGTATCTTATTTCCTCCATAGTACCTATCACCAGCTGACACATTATACATTTGTTCATCTTTTATCTGGCTTCTCCCACTAGAAAATAAGCTCCTGGAAGGGCAAGTACTTTGTTTTGTTCACATAGTATTCCCAGTGCCGAGAACAAAGCATGATACTCAATGCTCAGTAAATATTTCTTGAATGAATTGATTCAGTGAAACACGAGACAGCTGTTTAAAAAGGACGAGGGAGGCAGATCAATGCTCACTGACATGGCAAGATTATCAAAAAACACCATTACGTGAAAAGAACAGGTTAGTGAACCAAAAGTATAGTATGATGCCATCGGGGGAGGGGGAAATCTATGTATGCATATAAGAAAGGATATCATACTTTTAACAGGTTATCTCGGGTAGAAAAGCAAAGTGCATGCACGTGTGTGTGAGTGTAGAGTGTGTGAGTCTGTATTTTGTTTTATGTAGCAATAGTCTTAATACTAATTCTATGTCTTGATTTATTCCATGGAAATCATCAAAGATATATATCACAATATTGTCCATAATAGCAAAGAAAAAAGGAAATAGCCTGTGTCGACAACAGATATTGATCAGTTAAATTTCTAAATATTCCTAAACAATGGACTAGATTTTTTAAAACCCAGAGGTCAGCAAATAATGGCCTGCAGGCTATGTCTAGCTGGTGTCTTTCTTTTTCATAAATAACGTTTTAGTGAAAGATAGCCATGCCCATTTATTTACACATTGTCTATGGCTACTTTCCTATCCCCATGGCAGAGCTGCACGGTTGTGACAGAGACCGCATGGCCTACCAACTGTGAAATAGTTACTGTTTGGCCTTTTACAAGAAAACGTTGCTGAACTCCTGGACTAGAATATAGTCATTGAAAATGATTTCTGGGAGAATGAAATGGAAAATGTTAATATATATTTATCCACATATTAAGTATGTGAAAATCAGAAATATTTATAAACCTTTAAAATATCATTGATACATAAAAAAGACTGGAACGATGTATATAGAAATGTTACAGATTACCTCAGGATGGAAAAAATGGTGATTATTATTTCTTCCTTTATAGTTTCCTGCATTTTCAAATTTGTATAAACACTATGTATTATTATATAAAAAATCAGAATGAAAAATTGACTTTTAAATATCTAGTTTACTTTGAGTATTATGTTCTTGCCTAAAAGAAAGAGTAGATGACCTTTCAATGTCCTTCCTTAAATGTGATTATTCATGAGACTTAGTTATTAGGCAAAGGGTCAAGCATTCTCATCTGAAACAGAATAACAACCCCATGTCAGTTTTGTTGTGGCAACTGGTTATGCTTTACTTTGTAACTATATTTTTCCATATTTTATTGCCTAAGAATGTTATCAATCAGAGGCCAAGTTCAAAGTCCTGACAGTCTATTTAAGAGGGCCAATATCAGAGATTAGAGGAATCGTGCAGTCCTGTGTTACTCCTTCATTTTACCACATGAAGAAAACAACAGGAAGGTTTACAGATGGCCCACAGCAGCCCAGGTAGATGTGGGCAGAGCTCCTGTGTGGCTTCCATGCTGACTCCTGCATAATAAATGGAAGTCCATGAGGGATAAAAGAGGAACAGGAATTTCAGCAAGGCTTACATAAAAATGAAATGTCAGGGATCAGTAACAATATGGGCAGGCTAACTAAAGTTAGGATAAGTTTGTTTTTTAAGAGGAATGTTACTCTTTACTTTTTCTATTCCTCTTTGTTTACAACTACGTCACTGTTACAGTAATAATATATCATGTAACTTACTGAGAGTATCCACTTCACAATAGTAACTAAGTCTTTTTCTTTCAAGAGATTGGATTTTTTAAAAATTTGTTCTACTGAGACATAATTTACCTAGAGTGAAATGCACAGTTCAGTTTTGACAAATGCATCCACCCAAGTAACTAACACTCCCATCAAGAAAGAGAAGCCAGAAACATGTCTCATGTCCCTTCCCAGTCAGTCCTACCTTCTGTTCTGATTTCTATTCCCATAGGTTAGTTGTCCCTTTCTAGAACTACTTATAAATGCAGTTATTCAGTATGTACTCTTTTGCATCTGGCTTTTTCACTCAACATAATGTTTTCTGAGAATCATCATGCTGTGAGGGTGTATCATAACATTCTTTTCTTATTGCTGAGCAGGAGTCTATCTTACCATTATACCGCAGTTTCCTCCACTTGCCCTTCTCTCTTGTTGAAGGATATCTGGACTGTTGCCAGTTCAGGCATTAAACAAAAAGTCTGTACCAATCCTGGCACCACTTTGTCCAAATAAAAAGAAGTTTTGGGAATTGGACTCTGTTACTTTTGATATTCTGCCTTCCATTCATACTTAGATTTTTCAGGGGCCTCCTTGCCTGATCTCTTCTCCAGGAAAATATCAGAGCAAATACAATTGGAGAAGAATGAAGTAAGTAATATTGAAGATAGGCAAGTTTATTTATTCATCATACAAGCGTAAAGACTGAATATAGAAAACATGTTAATATCCTGGCCAGTCCCACAATTTAATGTTGGAAAGGAAAGGTAAAGCTGCAAGGAGTAAAAAAAAAAAGGGGGGGGGGGGCGGGGCGGGGCGCAGCAATAGTGCCAACCTGTAGAGTTTAAGGCATTATCAGGGCCCTAATTATCAGGGTAAAGAAGTACATAAACACTATATATAGAAGACATGCATAGGAGTATATGAATCAAATCATAGGGACTTAAGGAAAATGAAAGGGTTAAGAGTCTAAATAGCACTTTTATTTTCTCTCTTAATTAGCATCAAACTCTTCTTAAGCCATAAGCCCTCTCTGTTCATGCTCACTGACTCTGGATGGGTGTAGTGTGTGACACTGACCTCCCAGAGAATTACAAAGCAGCTGGACAACTGTAGCTTTACAAATGGAGTAATGTAATACCACTCTTGATAACAAAATAATAAGTACTTAGATGTTTTGGATATACTGTTACCAACAATTCTGGCCAAAATCCATGAACAGCAAGAAGGATTTCAGTGGGAAAATGAGTGGTTTAAAAATGATCTTTGGGGAGTCAATAAAACATGATTTTTTTCCTTAATGCTCTCCTTGTCTTCCTTTTCCTCTCCGCCCCAAAGATCTTTCAGTATTCTCTTCTTTTACTGCTGCTGCTGATTATATTATTCTCCTATTTAAAATAGGAAGGGATGGAGCAGAAAGTATTCCTGTTTCTACCAAGAAAGCCCTGAATAAAATCTGGAGAAATTCATCCCAAAGAAGCACTAGATGAGCTATGTGCTTCATGTTTAAAATAGTTTATCCATGGTATTATTAAAAACATAGCTTCCTGTTTTAGTCTGCTACAGCTGCCATGACAAATTACTACAGACTGGGGTGGCTTAAACACAAATTTATTTCCTCACAGTTTTGGAGGCTGGTAGTCCACGATCAAGGATTAGTGTCTCCTGAGGCCTTTCTCCTTGGCTTGCAGATGGCCACTTTATCACTGTGTCCTCACATGGTCGCCTCTCTGTGCACACGTCTGTGTCCTAATCTCCTCTTATTAGGACACAAGTTATTTTGAATTAAGGTCCACTCGTATGACTTCATTTTACCTTAATTACATCTTTGAAGACCCTGTCTCCAAATGCAGTCACATTCTGAGGTACTAGGGATTAGGACTTCCACATACAAATTTTGGGGGAACACAATTTAGCCCGTAACACTTCCTGTCTGCATCACAGACCTGTTAACCTAATGAAATAGAATATTTTGGAAAATGCTGTGAATGCAATTATATCCTGTACAAGAGGGTGTCTGTTAGGGTTGTTAAATTAGTCGCATCTTCAACTATTTTAAAAGCCTTGGTGATTTCAAGTTGTTTGTAAGGACCAATGTTAGTGGCTATTATTTTAGAGAGCAAGGCTACAAAGAGAATCAGAGACACACTGAAGATTGTATCTGCAAACGAGTACAGTTTAAACTTTAAAAATTCTCTAAATTCAACAATGAGGAAAGTAATTTAAAAATTAATGGTTAATTATAGAAAATAGATGTGTTTTAAAATACCTTACAAAGAACATGGCAAAAATGATACTAGAACAGAGTAGACTTGAAAGCTAGCATAGTCTACTGGCATCACTGTCTACAGAAAAAAAAATAGAGTGGATGAGAGAACGAATAGAAAGGACTCAGTATGCTTTGGTCGCACCTTCCTAAGAACAGCATGGTGGGCAAACTTTTAGTGTGCGCAGTAGAATAAAAATCGGAAATCAGGAAACAAACCGATTTGTTTGTTATGATCAGCTAAGTTGATTCATACGAAACGTACCTTTCAGTAGTATAAAAAAAAAAAAGTCAAATACTGACAATTCTGTGTCAACCTAACAAAAGGGGAACCAGAGGATTTAGCCTGTAGAAGAGGGAAAAGGGACGCACCCAGGAGCCATCATGATGGAAGATTATAGGACTCTGTCTTAAAATCATTATACAATTCACATATTTATATATAATATCTCAACCTCAGCATTTCAGGTTTGGTCTCATGCCGATAATAATATTGTCATCCCTCCTCACCCAATTAATTTTCTTTTCAGATTATTAGCTACTCAAATTCTCCAAGCAAATTCCTGGATTAGGTCTTCTGCTTTACCGCGCCCCCGCCCCCGCTTTCACTCTCGGGTTGAGAGGTTTCCCTGGCGGTGGCCAGTGCTAAGATCTCCGCTCCATCACCCCACCCACCTCCACGCCCTCCCCATCCTTCTCGCAGCGTTGGCCGCGCTATACCTGCGAATTCTCCGCATTGCGTTTCCATCACGCTGTTGTGGCCCAGCGGAGGAAAAGTCCTGTCTTCCTCCGAATCCCGATGTAGATAAATAGGCAACCCTGTCCTTTTGTCACCAGGGCGTGTGGCAGGGACCCCACTCTCCCAGCTCAGGGTGGAAGTGCTGGGGTTGAGACAGTCACATCAGGGGCCTGTTGTCCTGGCACCATTGATGCACTCGAAGGACAAACGAATGACAAAGTCCCACAGCCAATCACAGCGCAAGAATGTGTTGCAGCATCTTTGCTTCAGGAGCGGCCACTGCTAAGCTGGACCTAGACGAAGGCCACTACAGAAATTAGGCGCGAAACTCTCAGACCGCGCGCCCGCCTGGTCCGCGGACCCCACTTTAGCGGCGTAGCGAGCGCGTCCCTGTTTCCGCTCGCGCGTCGCGAATTAGAGGAGGCGAGGTGAAAGCGGGCGAAGGGAGCGCAGCCAATCCGGGGCGCCCTGCCGCGCTCCTCCCGCCTCCGGCTCCCGGGCCCCGCGGCAGTCACAGCCCGGCGCCGGCAGCTGCGTGCGCTCCACTCCCGACAGCGAGAGGAGCTCGAGGCTGCGGCCGCCGGGGCCCGGGCCATGGCCTCTGCCGTGCCGCCCCAGCCCCAGGCCGAGGGCTCGCCCTGGCCTCTGTGCCTCCTGCCCGCGCCTCAGGGGCTGCTGCGGCTGGACCCCACCGGCGGCGCGCTGCTGCTG